ACATGCCAGGAGGGGCTCTTAGGGAGGAATCACTGCCTTCCATGTTCTTTGGTTTTGTTGCAGCTGTACCATTTGGGGATATGTTGTTCATGGCCAGCCTCGGGTCAACCTGTGTTCTGCCGTAATGCATGAATATTTTGCTTGGGTGTGTTGGTGCCTGGTTTTTCTGACTCATTTTACTTCTCAGGGAATAAAATGATGCCTTGATGGCCTGGACATCTCTGCTTTTGCTCTGGGATTTTATCTGGTTTCTATACAGTGACTGCCTCTTCCACCCCACCTTCAATCAGCAACTGCCACAGGAACTCTGTAGCCCGAACAGTAGCAGTCGAAAGATGCTCTCACTGCCCACTTCCTGTAGACAAGGAGGTTTTGGTGGGCTGCTCAGGAACTGTGCCAGCCCTGTGTCTGACTGGTGACTGACTCATGAGAAAAGCAGCCTTATGTCTGAAAGATAAGAGCCAACAAATCGCCTCCAGGTGGTGTTAGTTTGGAGGTGACTGACCATTCATTTCCTGTCTTTGGGAGGAGCTGGTGGGGAGGGAGTCAGTGAATAAAGTGGTCTTGCCTGCATTTTTCTCCAGCTGTTAGTGAAGCAGCTGAGCAAATAGTTGCTTCTCTCTCCTGGAATGGCTAGTGGACCCCACCAGTGCCTTCTGAATCCCTCCACTGCCGTCAGGGTACCAGACCTGTATCATCCATCCTGTGTCTCCCCTTCAACACTCTTGTCATCCTCTTGCCAGGAAGCTGGCTCTCTGCATCAGGGAAACTCTGCTTGTTTCGTTGCTGCCAGCTTTTTCTGTGACCAGCCAAACCTCATCCCTACTGATACCGGTTGCCTCCAATGCTCTCCCTAACCCAGGAGTTGATCAGAAGCGATGGTTCTGAACCGCTGTCCCTTGGCTGGGCATAGAGGGTCCAGGCAGGTGAGCCTGCCTCCCCTTCCCCCCCCCCCCCCCCGCCTCATTCCCATTTCCTGCAGGAGGATGCTTTGCCATCCTGGAGCCATCAAGCACGGCTGTGCTTTGGCAGCACCGTCGCGCACACGCTGGTGGGAGAGGGGACGTGTTTATCACTTTTCCTGGAGATTATCTGTTTAAGCACTTCTCTGACAGTTACAATAACAAGGGCAGTGTGTTGTGTTTCCCAGCAGAAGGACACTTGCTGTTGAAAGATGTATAGCACTAATTAGAAATACATAACATCCGGCCACATGGCAGCCTTCTCCCGGCCGCTCCATTTCCTGATTTCATACAACTTTGACGACAGTTGGTTTATGTTTTCCATGAATATGTTCTCAGAAAAATGAGAAAGTCTCCCTGTTACATAGGAGTGAGAAGAATATTTCTGCCTGAGCAGGTATTTGGGCATAGGAATAGTGGGGGCTCTGGTCACCTGCCCATCTGAGACCATGTGGGAAAGGGCAGAATCAAGTTCAGACCTCAGGTGACTTTCTTGGTAAGAAATATTTCCGTCTGACTCGCTTAGCCAAAACCATCCCCCTAAACCCTTGAGCAAGCCTGCTTTTGGAAAGAAGGGGAAAGGCTGTTTCACAGTGTTAATGAGTTCCTCAGCTCATGTCAGACTCCTGCTACCTGACACAAAGCCAGAGGAACCCAGGCAAATACCAAGGCAAACAATGCTTTTTCCTTCCCCGCCCCACATCATTTGTTGGTCTGACCCAGCCCAACTCCAGGGATATATATGGGCATTTGTCAGACTAGGGCCAGTTTCCTAGCTCTAGCCCCAAAGTGGGTGGACTCTGGGAACCTGGATGCTGTTTTCCTACTCAACTTATATGAGAATGAACACTTCTCAAGGAGTGGCATCTTACAGCTTCTAGCCTACAGAAGCCTAAGTGAGGTGGAGAGTATCTCCGAAGATGCCATAACACTTAATGTAGTTCTCACTGGAGGCACTGGGTCTGAGTTGCCATGGTTACTTAGGTAAATAGCAGTTTCTTTCACCCAATTGTAAGGTCCTGTGGTTGCAGGGACTGTTTTATTTGTAGCTGTGTTCTCCATAATACCCAGCACAGGGTGAAGCACATTATAGATGTTCAGTATGTGCTTGTGGTACCACTGAACCATGGAGGAGGGCAGGCCTTCCAGAAAGTACTCTCTATGATGTGGTGAGAAGACTGACTGAGACCCAGGCATTCTGACCCCCATATAGCTGTGATATCACCACCTGCTTGATCAGAGCAAAATAGCTCAGTGGTTTGTGCCTCCCCCAGACCATTGCAGGGAAGTAAGTACTGTCAGGCCCTTTATGGAGGGGCAGGAAGAAGTGAAGGTTGGAGGTGACATAACCATGGCTAAGAACAGCGCTCATGAAGCTGCCTTTCAGCTGCTGCTCTGAGAGGTAGTCAAGCCTTTCCACATTTACAGCAAAGAGGCTCCAGTTATTGGTACCCTGCCTGGTCCCCAGACCTTATTGCAGGAGGCTTAAAAAAGGAACCAACCTGGGGGCGCCTTGGCTAGTGCAACTGGTTAAGCATCTGACTCTACCCACATCAGGTCATGATCTCAGGGTCGTGGGATCAAGCCCCATGTCGGGCTCCTTGCTCAGCAGGGAGGCTGCTTCTCCCTCACCCTCTGAAGCTCCCCCTGCTTGTGCTCTCTCTCTCTCTCTGTCAAATAAATAAATAAATAAAATCTTTTTTAAAAATTAAGATTTTATTATTTGAGGGAGGGGAGGGAGGGAGGCCTGGGAGGGGCAGAGGGAGAGAGAGACCCAAGCAGACTCCATCCACACTGAGCAGGGAGTCCGACACGGGGCTCATGACCTGAGCCGAAGGCCCTAAACTGACTGAGCCACCCAGGCTCGCAAATAAAATCTTAAAAAGAAAAGAAAAGAAAAGGAGCCAACCTGGACTCCCCAGAGGCCACAACTGTCATTGTTTTTAAGCAGTTCATTCTCCCTCTTGAGCCCTAGTCACAACTTTGCACTCTGAGGAATAGCCTAGCCTGAAATTACCATTTGTCATAAAAATAGAAATGGCCTTGGTGAAAGTAATCTCCTTTTGCCCCATCTTATCCCTATCCAGGTTAATGAGAGTATCTTATTGTAGTCTTGGGCTTCTCAAAATGCCAGTCTCTTTGAGCTAAGACACCTCCTTCTGTGCCTTTTCGGGGCCCTCTGTGGGCAGGTAATAACTTATGCCTAAGATGCCCCGTTGATAAGGGGTCACTAATGTCAACTACCAGGATGTGGCCTCCCCTTATCCTAGTCTAGCTTCCTCTGTTCTGGACTTACTCCCCCATTCTGGGCTGGCCTTGTTTCTACTTAGAAGCAGGCTGCTGGCAGTGTTTGGCAAGGGCCTAGGCTGAGCTGGGGCAGTACAGATAGTGATGCTGCCCAAAGTAAGGGGTGGAGGGGAGAAGTTGCCATTTTTCTTAGGATGGCATACACATCTTCCCCTTCCCTGCTCTCTACCCTTTCCTGTCTTGGTTCTTCGATGCTTGTATCTTGGTCTCTGTAGCAGAGGTTTAGAGCCTTACCAGAAGAGGAATGAGAGTGGTGACCTATTCTAATCACATGGATTGTTACCACTTCCTTACTGCCTTCCGCAGTTGAGTTGGAAAGTTAGAGGGTGACATTTGGGACCAGTCGGCATCTGGAAGGATGGCAGGAAAGCCACAACAGACGAGTACTTTGCTACACTGATGCTATTCATATGTTGGGACCTTCTGACCAGCAGCCTGTTCCTTCTCACTCCCAGGGCTCCCTAAAGTGGTTTGGGGCTGGCTCTATATACTCCAGTCATGTTTGCTCCTGTGGCCAAGGCGGTTAGGAGTAACTGTGTGGTTGTGTAGCATCTCCTGGAGTAAAGACTTCAGTTAGGCCCCATTGACAAGACTAGTGTCAGTGAGGAGAGACGCAAGAGGGCTTCCCTCTGACTATTGAGGTTAACATGCAGGCAGGCACAGATATCAAACATGTGGCTAATTATCCTTTTAACACTTGGAGATTCGGAGCGTTCTCCTGTATTACAGAGGGAGTGAACAGGTTAGTTGATGCCAGAGCGTGTGACCGGGCACTTGATTCCATCTCCTGTGCGTATTGGGTGTCTGTCTCCTCCTCTGAGGCTGCAGTTGGACTGCTGCCTTCTGTTTGTCACCATTCCTCTCAAGTCTGGATTAAGTGGCTATCAGGGCGGGCCGCTAACAAGGAGTAGGTACAGACAGCGTGTTGAGAGTGTATGTTGTAGCTTCTGCCAAAGAATAGCTCTGGCCACCACCAAGGTGGCTCCTGTCGCTGACCTGCAGCCAGAAAGAAGTTGGCCAGGCTGAGAAAGTGAGGGGGATTGGGAGCCAGAGATTTATTTTTTAGCCCTAGGAGAAAGAATCTGTGAAAATATAAAGTACCATGGTTAAGTGCTTATTATGTGCCCATTTTCCTATGTAAAATTAACTCATTCAGTGAAAATAGGTTATTTGTAAGTGGAGGAGTGACGGAAGGTAAGGATGGAACCAAAGGTTAGTGACTCAAGAAGATAACTTAAATTTGTATTTTTGTGATCTTAATTGATATTTGTACTCCTGCTAGCTGTATGTTAGAGAGACTGAGTTAATTAAATATGACTTCTTGTTACTATAGCTTCACATTATTAGTAGCCAACTAAATACAGAGAACCTGTAGCTCTGGCCCAAACTGTCCATCTTGGGGTACCTGGTCCTGGGGAAGTGATGCAGAATTTACACAAGGGATCCCTATAATAATGTTATCAAGTCCTTACCCATATACAGCCATTGTGGTAAATGCTTCATGTGCATTATTTCATTTAGCCTTGTAGCGATGCTTAAGAGAGAGGAAATATTACTACTTAGCCCCAGTCTCAGATGAGGAAAGGGAGCTCAGTGACATGACCAACGATGTGCACCTAGATGTTTGTATCTTGGTCTCTGTAGCAGAGGTTTAGGGCCTTACCTAAAGGTAGAGAACAGTAGCCCTTGACCCCCCAGGGCACTGATGGAGTTTCATTTGCCTCTCCTCAGACTGCTTCTCGGAAGAGTGTCGCTCTGTGATCCAGGAGCAAGCCGCAGCGCTGGGCTTGGCCATGTTTTCTCTCCTGGTGCGGCGCTGCACCTACTTACTTAAGGAGTCTGCCAAAGGTAAGCAGATGAGGGACCCCCTGACTGATGGCCTTTCCCCTGCCTGGACCCCGTGCAGACAAGCTCAAAATGCCACCCTGCCTTCTCAGCATCTCTTCCCTCTATTTGATATTCTTGCTCTTCCCAATAACCCCTCTTCCGTATGCCCACCTAACTACCCCACCTCCTTTTGCATTCTGTTTACCTCTGTAGCCCTCTGTTCTTGGGGGAACTATCCCCTCCCCCTTTTCTCTAGTAGTTAAGATTTTTACTGTATCTATGAGCTGCTGTGGGTTCCTACGACGTTAGAAAACCAGCAAAGAGCGTTTCAGTTCTTGTTCATAATTGATATTTTGGTTTCCCTGCTCTATCTCTGTGTCCCTCTTTGTCTGGTACTGGTGGGTGTTGTAACCACTGTGGACCAGCCACCTTGGACGACTCACTGAACCAGAGCACGGGCTGTTTTTAGCCCTTAAGTTGATCAGTGCCCGCATATGCATTAAGGTTGTCCTTAGAGTTGTAAGCCTGACTGCTGAGCCGTGTAAGGTAGGGCTGAAGGTTGCCCCTTTCTCTCAGCTCCTGGATCAGTATTGGTGAGTATTGAGGCCCCTCTGTTGTCCCCCTGCCACTTCAATTTTGTGAATGCCTCCAGACTGGAGCTGCCTTTTTTTGGAGGGAGGGTTGAGGTAATTTTTTATTTTGAAACAATTTCAAATTTATAGAAAAGTTGCAAGAATAATACAAAGAACTCTTGCATATCCTTCACCCGGATTCCCCATTTGTTAACATTTTACCATAGTTGCTTTAAGTTCTCTCTCTTTCTATACACACACACACATGCTTATTATTTTTGTTCTGAACTATTTGATTGTAAGTTGTAGACGTGGTAGCCCTTTACCCCCAAAAAGTTGATTGAATATTTCCGAATAACACGGACATTCCCTTACATGACAGTGCAGTTATCAAAATCAGCAAGCCAACGCTGATACAGTACTGTTGTTGAATCTACAGACTTTATTGAGTTTATACCAGTTGTCCTAAAAAAAGTCATTTTCTGGTCTAAGACCCACTCCAGGATCACACATTGCAATTTAGATGCCGTGTCCCTTTAGTTTTCTGCAGTTTGGCATCGAATGGTTTTCTCAAGTCTTTCTCTGTCTTTCATGGCCTTGACATTTTTGAAGCATACAGCCCACTTATTTGGTCGAATGTCCCCCAGTTTGGGTTTCTCTGCTATTTCCTCATGGTCAGATTCAGGTTGTGCAGTTTTGGCAGGAACTCTGGTGCCATCTCGGTGCCGTGCTGAAGGAAAGCTAGAGGGAGGGCTAGACGCTGGAGCGGCGGCTTCAGTCAGGCTACCGGTGGGGCAGAAACAGCTGTCTGCAGGGGCAGACTCAGTGCACTGGTTCTCTCTTTGTCCTGCTTTTCAGAATCCTCTTAGGTGCTGGCACTTGTCCTCCGCTTCTGGGCCCAGCTTTCCTGTGGACTTGGTCTCCCTTCCCTAAGAGCTTGCTGCCGTCCCAGCGCCCCAGGCCTCCCTCGTGGGCCACAGCAGACCTAGGCCCAGTTCTCACCCTTTGCCTCTGCAGCTCAGTTGTCCTCTCCTGAGGACGAGGATGACCAAGATGACATCAAGGTGTCTTCCTTCGTCTCGGACCTGAAGGAACTGCTCCCCAGTGTGAAAGTCTGGTCGGACTGGATGCTCGGCTACCCAGACACCTGGAATCCTCCTCCCACATCCCTGGACCTGCCCTCACAGTGAGTCGGCCCGCTCATTCCTTCGGCACTGTTGGTCTTGGTCCACCTGTGCTGCCACAGCTCCCCTCCTGGTCCTCTTTGTTTCTTCCCGACCGCTGCCTGCTTGTTCCTCTCTTCCCTCCTCATTTGAACTTTGCTTTTTCACTTCCTTGAACACCTTCCTTGTGCCCTGATGCTTTAGGCTGTTTTTCCCTGTTGTCTAGTCTGTTCCTCCTCTTCTCAGTCTGTCCTTGTCTCTTGCTCTGTAGCTTGCTCTGTTTTGTTCTTTGTCCTTGCTCTTGCTGTCTTGCTCTCACTTCATGCTCTTCATGCCTACCGTCTCTGCAGCTGCCTGTCTGGGCATGTGTCCGTGTGAGGGGGAGGCCTTGTCTCTTACTCTCCCTTTTAGTGTATCTCCACATGTCCTTCAGGCTGTGAGCTGCTGCTTCGTGTGCCGCCGTAAACATTCTGCTTGGGCCTTCCTCTCATACACTGTAAAGCGTGAGGAGGGCAAATGTGTACACCTCTGTCTTCCAGTCGCTTCGTTTCCCATCTCCCTGTCTCTGTGTGTCAGCGTGCTGTCTGTCAGAGCATTTTAGGTGTGGGGTGTGTTGGTCTGGGGAGTATGTGTGTCTGCCTGGGTGTGTTTATGTAGATCTCTTTGTACGCTTGTGTGACTTTTTTCTTTCTTTTTGTAAATTGTGGTAAAATATATATGTATATAATAAAATTTGTCATCTTAACCATTTTTAAGTATATGATTCAGTAGCATAGTATATTTACATAGTTACGTAACCATGCATGGCTATTTCTTTCTTTTTTTTTTTTTTAGATTTAATTATTTGAGAGAGAGTGCTTGAGTGGGGGGAGGGGCAGAGGGAGAGGAGACAAGCAGACTCCCTGCTGAACGGGGAACCCAACTCAGAGCTTGGTCCCAGGACCCTGAGCCAAAACCAGGAGTTGGACGCTCAACCAACTGAGCCACCCAAGCACCCCACATGCATGGCTGTTTCTTACGTCCATATCTGTGTGTAGGTTCTAGCTCTGTGTGTACCTCTTTGGCTCTGGTTGTCTGTGTATGTCCGGGTATCTGTGTCTGAGTGTGAGGGTCTGTGTGTGTCTGTCTAGGGGTGTCTCTGAGGGTCTTTTGGTGTACCCGTCCATGTCTGCCTGTTGTATGTGTCCACATGTGTCTGTGTCTCTTTCTATCCTTAGGTGTAGGGGTCTCTTTAAGGGATTCATGTGTCTCCATTGAGGGTCTGTTTCAGTGTGTCTGTCTGTGTCTCTCTCAGATTCTGGGTCCACGTCAGTCCATGTGTGCTTTGTCCTGTCCATGTCTCTGTGTGTGGGACTGTGTCCTGTGGGAGTGTGTATGTATGTTCCTGACTGTCTGTGTCCACGCTTGTCCGTGACTGTGTCTCTGTGTGTAAGTCGGCATCTGTGTGCTGGAAGGAGCACTTTTGTGTATGTGGGTCTTCCTGTAGCTACCTGCCTCTGCCTGCCTCGTCTGTGTCTCCCTGCCTGCGTCACCTCTAGCCTGCCTGTCTTTGCCTGGCTTGGCACGTGCCTGCCTGCCTGCCCCTATTTATCTGCCTCTGTTGTTTGTGTGTCTGCATCAGGGGTCAGCAAACTGTGGCCCAGAAGCTAAGAATGGTTTACACTTTTATTTATTTATTTATTTTAAAAGATTTTATTTATTTATTTGACAGAGAGAGAGACAGCGAGAGCAGGAACACAAGCAGGGGGAGTGGGAGAGGGAGAAGCAGGCTTCCCGCCGAGCAGGGAGCCTGATGTGGGACTCGATCCCAGGACGCTGGGATCATGACCTGAGCCGAAGGCAGACGCTTAACGACTGAGCCACCCAGGCGCCCTGGTTTACATTTTTAAACGGTTAAAAAAAAAAAAAGAATAGTATTTCATGACTTGTGAAAATTATTAGGAAAGTCAAATTTCAGTGTCCATGAAGTCCTACTGGAGCACAGCCATGCTTATTTGTTTACACTTCGTCTGTGGCTGCTTTAGCAGTGCAGCCGAAGAGCTGAGTAGTTACAATAGAGACGTCCTGGTCTGCAAAGCCGAAATGTTTACTGTCTAGCCCTTTACAGAAAGTTTGCTGACTCCTGCTCTCTATGTGTCCCATTCTTTTTTTGTGTTAGTGTCACTATGTGTGTATGTTCATGTTTGCACAATAGTTTCTTGTGTGTGCACGTTGGTGCTGCCCATCTCTGGTCAACTCTGTTGATTGTCCATCTCTCCCTCCCTCTACCTTTCTCTCTCTTCCTGTCTCTGTCTCTTTCTCTCTCTCCCCTTCTCCTTTTCCTTTCTCTTTCTCTCGCCCCCCTGCCCTGTGGTTTGTTTTGTGGTATCTGGCAGGTGCAGTGTACTCAGCTCCTTCAGGCTCTGTGCTGGGCGTGTGTGTGTGTGAGAGTGTGTGAGAGAGAGAGAGAGAGAGAGAGAGTGTGTGTGTGTGTGTGTGTGTGAGAGAGAGAGAGAGAGAGCGAGCGAGCATCCATGCCCAGCATTTCATCATTCTTCAGTGCTCTCCTCTGGAAGGGGCACATACTAGAGGACAGAGTGTGGAGACCTAAGCTGCTGCCGATGGTACCTCTCTGAGCTGAGCGCTGCCCATGTGAGTCTGTCCACTCATGGGTGACCCACAGAGGGAAGGCTGCAGGAGAGATTTCTGGCCAGTAGTTTTTTGACCTCTCTGTGTGGACTGTGTGCCTCTTTCTCCGCCTTCCCTCCCAGCTCTAGCTCTGTAACTGTGTGGCTTATGCTCACAGCATCAAACAGTTCTCTGCATCCTCCCGTGAACCCTCCTAGGTTCCCCAAATGCACCCCAGGCTGAGGCCTTAGGAACCAGGGTAGAGCCATCAGCTAGGCAGCTGGGGTCACACAGAGGAATGGACTGATCTGCTGGCTAGGGGCAGCCGTTTCCTGGCGGTGTTCCCTAAACAGTTAACATGTACAGCCTCAAACTTTTCAAGCTGTTAATCTATAATGCCGACTAGGCAATTTGCAGTTTTGGAAAGAAACTGACAAGGAAGGTCTCAGCTCTCCAAGTATCTGAAGCCACTGCTTCTGAGCCTGCACAGGGGTCACAGAGTGTTCCTCCCTTCCTCTTAGGGGGTGGGGAGGCAGACCATCTGTCCCTGGAGCTTGGGCCTTCCCTGGGTCACCTCAACTAGCAACCACAGGTCCCTTAGATATGGTCCACCCAGCTCCTGTTTATCCATATCCTGGCCATCAGTCCTGTTAACTCTCTTCTGTGACCCATCTCCCTTTATCCCTCCTCCCTCTCCCACTCCCTTTGGCTTTTGTTTGGCTGAGGAAATGGAAAGCTCACACAGGAAGTGCTGGGCCTCATTTGCTTGAGGTGCTGAGTCTGTTTTCTCTTTGGATGCTGTAGCAAATGGCCCGTTGCCGGCGTATGCAAGCTGCTGCCCATCTTTGGGCAAGGGCTCAATCTGCAGCTGGGCACGTGGTCCAAGCTCCAGCCATCCCCAGCTAGGCTTCCCCTCCAAGGCTACAGAGAGGCAGAGGGGGTTGGGACACTTGAACAGATTTGCTTTTTCTTTTCAGACTGTTCTTCACAGGGAGAGCAAATTTGACCAAATAACATATTGAATCTGATTGCCTAGTAAACAAGTTCCTGTGTAGCTGTGGGCACCACTGATGAATCCCGTCTAGGCTAGAGCAGCCGGCGTGCTAGAGAGCGGAGTCCCCTTCGGCGCTTTCTCTGCAGTTCCGGATCGGCAGCTGGTTGTTTCTGGAATGCAGGTTTAAGCATAAAGGAGGAGTTTTGCTGTCCTGGGGCCTGACCACAAGACATGGTGGTTTGAGGGCTGGGGCCTCTGGTGGACAGAGCATACCTGGCCTGACCACCACTGAGGGTAGTCCCACCTCATAGCTGTCAGATCCAAGCACTGGAAAAGTGGAATGAGAATTTACCTTCCTCCTTTCCAGTTTCTCATATAGCTGCCTAACACTCACTGAGTAAATACTATGGTTGAGAGATTGGCAGGGTATGGTGGTTCTGTGGATTTCAAAGTGGCCTCTTATGCTTACTGATCTTTCATACTCTGGAGCCTTTTCTTTTAAGGCCATTGGGAATAACACACTCCAGATAGTTCTGTAGATGTCAGAATAGTAATCCCTGTGACACTCCCAAGGTCCTTGTGCTGATCTTCATTTTGGAGGGTTTAGGAATGCTCTCAAGAGAGTAGGAAGGAAATGGCTTCTACTTAACAGCTCTCCTTTGCAGGTTTTCACTGGTTTTTGCCCGCATTTGTTCTCTGCAGAGACAGATCCCTCAGTGATCCTAACATAAGGTGATCAGATGGCTTACCTTTCAGTTTGCTTCTCCTCCAGAAACCCTCATTCCCAAATTGTCTCCCTGACACACTTGGACCCTTATTTCATCTATCTCCCTTCATTCCCTCCCTGTCTTTCATTCCATTACCTTCTTTCTCTGTACAGTTACAGAATCATTCCAAAGCTTTCTTAGGGGAATTCCAGAGTTCATCATTAGTCTCCTTGGTTCTCTCCTTTTTTGCCCATATTCCTCTTCTTTCCAGTCAAATCTACATTTCCTAGGCAGTAGCCACTTAGGCACATGTGAAGCACGTAGGATGATGATGACAGGACATCACCAACACCGCAGAGTGATAAGGGCAGGATTTCAGGGCTACTTATGCCTTCCACACCGTGACACTCATAGGTATGTGTGTTGGAGTCAGCAAGTAAATAGGTTGGCTTCCCATTTGTACTTGTAATAGGTTGGCTTTATATCCCCGGAGATTTTCGTACAGGGGATCGTAGCAGGGTGTGGAAAGTTGCCTTAGGCTGCTGTAAAAGACAGTGTAGAGCGCTTTGGTCTATTTAGAACAGACCCAGTGTTTGGAGGGACCATCTACTGGTGGGGTGTGGGGGAGGAGGAGTGGGGAACATGGTTTCAACACTAGGCCTCTCGATAGGAAGGAGAGGTAGCTACTCCCCACTTTACCACGTGAGCATGAAGT